TGAAGAGTGGATATTGGCAAGTCGACATGGCGCCGAAAGACAGAGAGAAGACAGCGTTCTCGGTGGGCTCCGGACTGTGGCAATTTACCGTCATGCCTTTTGGATTGTGCAACGCGCCAGCTACCTTTGAGAGACTAATGGAGTCTGTGTTAAAGGGACTATCCTGGACTACCTGTTAGTGTACCTGGATGACATCATAGTGGTTGGGAAATCCTTTGACGATCATCTGAAGAATTTGGAAGAAGTTTTCAAGCGACTAGGGAGCTCTGGTTTGAAACTTAGCCCCAAGAAATGTCATCTGTGTCAAGAAAAGGTACACTACTTGGGCCATGTAGTCTCCTCCCAAGGAGTTGCGGTAGATCCACAGAAGACCAAGACAGTGGAAGAGTGGCCGATACCTAAAGATAAACATGAACTACGAAGCTTTTTGGGACTATGCACATACTATCGCCGTTATGTACAGTGTTTCGCCACCATCGCAAAACCATTGACCAGACTTACCGAAGGCGAGAGGCGTTTCTCTTGGGACTCAGATTCTGACGAGGCATTCCGAAAATTGAAGAAGGCACTGACTAGTGCGCCCATACTTAGCTACCCTCTAGGCAACGGAAACTTAATATTGGATACCGACGCTAGCAATGTTGCGTTAGGCGCTGTTCTGTCTCAGATCCAGGATGGTCAAGAAAAAGTCATTGGTTATTTTAGTAAGACCTTGTCAAAACCGGAAAGGAACTACTCTGTAACCAGACGAGAATTACTAGCAGTAGTTAAAGAAGTGGAACACTTCTACAAGTATCTCTATGGAAGAAAGTTCTTGTTAAGAACAGACCATGCTGCTTTGAAATGGCTTTGCAGTTTAAGAATCCTGAAGGGCAGGTAGCTAGATGGATTGAAGGATTACAAGAATTTGACTTCGACACAGAACATCGAACTGGGGCAATCCATCGGAATGCCGACGCACTTTCCAGAAGACCTTGCGCTAAGGACTGTAAGCATTGTTCCCGAGCTGAAGAGAAAGAAGTGAAACTCCTAAGAACAACTGTGGTTAATGATAGTTGGCAACCCGAAGATCTTGCAAATGACCAAACCAGTGACCCAGAATTAGGTTTAGTAATTAACTGGAAAAACACAGGCCAAAGACCAAAGTGGGAAGAAGTTTGCAGATATTCGCCGAACCTAAAGTGTACTGGGCCCAGTGGAATTCCTTGGTAATAGATAACGGACTACTTCGCCGTGTGATCGAGAGACCGGAGGGACAAGAAGAGAGAAGGCAGATCGTCATTCCAAAGAAGAGGGTCCCAGAAGTCTTGGAGGAAGTTCACAATGGAACCAGCGGAGGACATCTTGGTGTTACCAAGACACTTGGCAAGCTGCGTGAACGGTTCTACTGGGTGAACTGCAAAGAAGATGTGAGGGCCTGGTGTAAGAAATGTGACATTTGCGCAGCCATTAATGGGCCACAAAAGCGTGGTAAAGCCCCTATGCGCCAGTACAATGTTGGTAGTCCCTTCGAACGAATAGCGATCGACGTGGCTGGTCCTTTCCCGGAGACGAACGATGGCAACAAATACATTGTGGTAGTAATGGATTACTTCAGCAAATGGGTCGAGGCCTACGCGTTGCCAAATCAAGAAGCGTCCACGATTGCTGATGCCCTTGTTAAAGAATGGATCTGCAGGTTTGGTGTTCCCATGGAGCTTCATTCAGATCAGGGAAGAAACTTTGAGTCCAATCTGTTCCAAGGCGTCTGTGAAGTCCTGAACATCCGCAAGACCAGGACGACTGCTCTACATCCACAATCCGATGGGATGGTTGAACGCATGAACAGAACTATCAACCGTTATCTGGCCAAAGTAGTCTCTGACCACCAAAGAGACTGGGACAAATTTCTTCACCTGTTCCTGTTGGCCTACCGTTCATCCGTCCAAGAATCTACAGGGCAAACTCCAGCCAGCATCGTTATGGGACGGGAAGTGCGCCTACCCTGTGATCTGAAATTTGGTTGCCGACCGGGAGAAGAAGTCGCCGGAGAAGATTATGTCCACACACTACGTCAAAGGATGGACGACATTCATCAGAGAGTCCGCCTAAATATTCAAAGTGCTAGTGACCGAATGAAGGAACACTACGACATTCAAGCTGAGCATGGAGGATACCAACCAGGGAAGTTGGTGTGGCTATATAACCCGCAGAGACGTCGTGGGTTATCTCCGAAGCTACAATCCTCGTGGGAAGGGCCATACGAAGTCATGGATAGAATTAATGACGTCGTATACCGTATCAGAAAATTGCCAAAAGGAAAACCGAGGGTAGTCCATTTCAACCGTTTGAGCCCCTACCAAGGCGAAATAGAAGATCGTGCTGGGACCGTGAGAACCTGCAGCTTTGATCCCCCTGATTCGGAGATGTCCTTTGACGATTTCATGGCCCGATACAACAGCAGTGAGAAGGCTCGCTATGGTGTAACCAAAGAAGATCAACGAGACCTCTTTTCCGTGCCTCCTGATTATTCGCTCGCTCATTGTGTGGCTCGAGATTTGCGGATGTCCAGAGGAATCGCTGCGACGTTCAATGAGAAGTTTGGGCGTGTCGGAGAACTACGCCGACAGGATCCAGAGGTTGGAAGCGTCTTGAGGCTAACCGACAATGCACATGGTCAAGCAAGGCACATCTTCTACCTGGTCACCAAGGAATGGTCCCCGAGTAAGCCGACTTATCTCAATCTATGGAAGACCCTGATTGAACTGAGAGAAGCCCTGCTAAACAACAACATTGCACGATTAGCCATTCCGAAGCTGGCGTGTGGACTCGATGGTTTGAGTTGGCGTACAATCCGGAACATGATTGAAGTCTTGTTCAGATTTACGGGAATCGAGATCCTCGTTTGCTGCTACAACCCAAAGCTGAGATCGGGAGAGAAAACTGTAGACTGCTATTTCTACCAGACTTCGCAATGTACCAGGGGCCAGCTTTGCAAATACCTTCATTCACCGTATACATCTCGGGACGAGCATGTACCTAAGAAGGGGGCAGTGTTGCGGGCCGGTGTGGACTCGACCTAACCTCACAATATGGCCCGCCCTCGGATGACCTTAACATCGCATAGACACCGCAATGATTCATTCGTTCGAGAAGAATCGAGACCCACTAGAATGGACGCGTACATACGAGAACATTCGAAAACCTTCTCTATGCGCCTAACGATCTTTGGACTATTCTAGATTTCTTTTACCTGTCGGTATAAAAAGCCGGCGGCAGTGGCCTAGAGAGGGCAGTTATAAATATACCAGTGCAGTTGACGCGCTAAAATTCAAAATAAATTCTTAGTTATAAATCGTTTGTAAATAGTTCTATAAGTCTTTTATCGTTATTGTTTTTGTTAATTAGTGTTAAATAAATAGTGTTTAAATAAATTGTGACTTTCTATCCACACGGAACCGACGAAAAACGTAACATTAATATTAATAGGTGTCTCATTATGGTTTTCTATTTCCCATTTAAATAACACGGTTTTTTTTAACTTTATTGCATTCTAACACAGCGTGTTGTAAAAATCAATACATATTCCGTAGGAAATTGAACGGTTTTGAAAACAGGTATGGGATATGATTTTTTATTTAATAGACTCATTTGAAAGTTATCGAATGTTAAAGTTCAACTTCAAATCGTATACAGGGTGGCCCATCGAAAACGTTCCGCAAGGCATAACGGCCAGGGTATTTATTTTTTCAAAAAATCCAAAAACACGTCAATTTTGTTTGTGAGTGGGACAACTTTTGTCCCAAAAATGATTGCAAAATATTCAACCCTCTAAGCGGGGGTGTCATCCCCCAACTTTTTTCAAATGGAAAGGGGGGTCAAGTGGCGCCGCAATGAAAAGAGCTTTCTGTTCTCTATATTTCCCCGCTTCGTTTTTGAAAATCGGTCGAGTCATTGAGAAAATATGAAGGATTGAAATTTGAAAAGATTATTTAAGCATTTATCAGAGTAAATGATAATTAAGGATAAATTCGACCAATTTGCTGTTTTTTCTTATTATTTCTAGATGTTTACGCATTTTTTCACTTGCCACAACGTTGAACGATCAGGTGCTGTAGTTACTAGATAGCTGTTCTGTGACTTCTACGTTGAAGTTCGTTCTCAATATCGTTAAACTGACCCACAATAGAATTTCCAAAAATACCAGCCCACACGTTCAATTTCTGAGGGTTTTGTGTGTGCATCTCGTGAAAATTCCTGGGGTTGTCCTCAGCCCAGTACCGACAGTTGTGCCGATTAACTACATCGTTCAAAAAGAAAGTACACTCATCCGAAAAACACACATTAAATAGGAAATTATTATCATTCGCCACTCGTTCACTCATAGCTGCACAAAATTGCAAGCAACGATCAAAATCGTCTTCGTTGAGTTCTTGTACCAACTGAATTTTTTTGTACAGGTGTGTCTCATTGGCTAATTTTCTTGTACTCAGAATACTGTCCATGGCAACTTGGCCCAATACGAATACCTCCATAGCTTCATTTACTACAGAATTTTCCCTCTGCTTCTTTTTATGCGTAACGGAACCAGTTTCGCGAAATTTTGCTACTAACTGGCGAACAATTTTGCCATAAAAGTGTTTGTCAGGATGGCGTTCATTGAATATCTGCGCAACCCGATTGCAAACATCTAGAAATAATAAAAAAAACAGCAAATTAGTCGAAGGAATTTATCCTTATCATTTACTCTGATAAATGTTTAAAAAACTTTTCAAATTTCATTCCTTCATATTTTCCCAACGACTCCATAACTTCCACAATTTTTTATATTTTATCACAAAATAATGGCTCAAAAACATAAAATATTCATAGTGTTCGGAATGAAATCCGCGAATATAGTTATAAAATAATATTCACACCAGTGCAGTGCATTTTCTGGATACACTAGAAATACGACAAGAAAATTTATACATTTTTAAATTTTAATACCAACTTAGTAACAGTCAGAATTTCAATTTTAGGCTTAAGAATTGCCTCCAAAGAACGAGATCGAGTAGAAAAATACATTGCTGCTGTTAAATCTGGTTGCGACAAAATTCCGGATTGCCACTTGCAACGAATACAAGTATTCGACGATTGCGTATTAAAAGTTTTTAAGGATTATCTCGAATATCTGGAGCAATGGGTCCTGTTCCACCATAACACTTTCCAGAAAAATTTGCTCGAGGAGGAATACAATTTTTCTTTCTCCGTCGTTAAACATATAGACAGGGGAAACGAATTACTAGGAACAAAATATGGAAACATTTTGGGTACAATTTTGGAAAGAATAGCGACGAGATTGTTAAAGAAAATCGATGAATTTTTGGACGAGGTCAATAAAGACGTAGATACACTTAAGTAATAAAATATAAATCCTTATTTTCAGTCTCTGCAGTACATATTTTTGTTTTTGTTACAGACAAACCCTTTTTTCTATATGTAGAGAATTACAAACAATTTTTAACGAAGAACGCGAAATGAGTATGAAAGCTATGGCATTCACTAAAATGATATTTTCGAGGGGTTCCAGTGCCATGGATAAAGAAGTGTACAAATTTTTACTGGTAAAAATATTTTAAAATTATACATCATTCCCAATATTTACGTATTAAATTTCTAGAAATCTATAGTAGCTTTTAAATGTATCATACCAAAAGCTATAGCCAAAGTACAAAGCCTTTTTGACTATATCACTTCAGATAACCTGGAGGATATGGATAAGGCAGCTTTAACTTCTAGAATAAGGGAAATATTAATGCAGATATATAGGTTTGGTTTTGAGGTATGTCATTTTATCTCTGCGCCTGTATTATCATCATATATTTTAATGAAATATATTTTTAGTTTTATAAAGAAATGACTGACGGCTCGCCAAATGATTATAGATCAAGAATAGTGTATAGTATGGTTCATTTTGCTAAGCTGTGGATGACGTTTGTGACAGAAAGATGTGAAAGAGGAAGAGGTGAGTTTTGTACTAATATACAGGGTGGCCCATCGAAAACGTTCCGCAGGGCATAACGGCCAGGGTATTTTTTTTTCAAAAAATCCAAAAACTTTCCAAAGTATTTTTTTTTTCAAAAATTTCAATCCTTGTTTGTGAGGGGGACAACTTTTGCCCCAAAAATGGTTGCAAAATCTTCAACCCTCTAAACGGGGGTGTTATCCCCCAACTTTTTTCAAATGGGAAGGGGGTCAAGTTGTACCGCAATGAAAAGGGCTTTCTATTCTCTATACTTTCCCGCTTCGCTTTTGAAAATCGGTCGAGTCATTGAGAAAATATGAAGGATTAAAATTTGAAAAGTTTATTTAAATTCCTTCCATTCCTTCCACCAATTTGAGGTTTTTTCTTATTATTTCTAGATGTTTACGCATTTTTTCACTTGCTACAAGGTTGAACGATCAGGTGCGGTAATTGCTAGATAGCTGTTCTGTGACTTGTGCGTTGAAGTTCTTCTCAATATCGTTAAACTCAAAAGACCTACAATAGAATTTCCAAAAATACCAACCGACACGTTCAATTTCTGAGGGTTTTGTGTGTGCACCTCGTGAAAAACCCTGGGGTTGTCCTCAGCCCAGTACCGACTGTTGTGCCGATTAACTACACCGTTCAAAAAGAAAGTACACTCATCCGAAAAACACACATTAAATAGGAAATTATTATCATTCGCCACGCGTTTAGTCATAGTTTCACAAAATTGCAAGCGACGATCAAAATCGTCTTCGACACTTGTACGCCTTTGGACACTTGTGCGATTCACGCCAGTCTTATTGGCTGATTTTCTTGTACTCAGCGTACTATCCATGGCAACTTGGCCCAATACGAATACCTCCATAGCTTCATTTACTATAGGATTTTCCACCTGCCTCTTTTTATTCATAACGGAACCAGTTTCGCGAAATTTTGCTACTAACTCGCAAACAATTTTGCCATAAAGGTGTTTGTCAGGATGGCGTTCATTGAATATCTGCGCAAGCCGATTGCCACATTTATTATTTTTAAAATAAAGTTCGATTATTTCCACTTTTTCTGCAAGTGAGTACACCATAATTGTTAAAAAGTTTAACGATATTGAGAAGAACAAACTTCAGCTATCTAGCAACTACCGCACCTGATCGTTCAACCCTGTGGCAAGTGAAAAAATGCGTAAACATCTAGAAATAATAAGAAAAAACAGCAAATTGGTCGAAGGAATTTATCCTTATCATTTACTCTGATAAATGTTTATATAAACTTTTCAAATTTCAATCCTTCATATTTTCTCAATGACTCGACCGATTTTCAAAAGCGAAGCGGGAAAGTATAGAGAATAGAAAGCCCTTTTAATTGCGGTACCACTTGACCCCCCTTCCCATTTGAAAAAAATTGGGGGATGACACCCCTCTTAGAGGGTTCAAGATTTTGCAATTATTTTTGGGGCAAAAGCTGTCCCCCTCACAAACAAAATCGACGTGTTTCTGAATTTTCTGAGAAAAAAATTACCCTGGCCGTTATGCCTTGCGGAACGTTTTCGATGGGCCACCCTGTAATATGTATTTGTAATTTTATTAATATTTTTTAAATTTTCTGTGTTGGCTTTATTTTTCAAATTGACGTGTTAGCTAATTTTTATCTACAGTACTTTGTAAAATTAATGTTACATTTCATGATTTTTATCAAAATGTGATTAAAATATCAGATTTGACATTTGAATTTGATGTTTTTTTTAATTGCAATTAAAAATTAAACTAAAGTTCGTATCAAATAAACTTTAAGTCACGTAATTAAGCTTAACTGGAAATGGGCAACGCTGCCCACTTTTACATATTTTCTTTTAATCAAAATATTTTAGCCTTCTTAACAGCACTTAAGGGACATAAAGGGCTATTACTACCGCTTTCCCGTTCAAAATATTCTAATAATGTTGCGATAATTTTTTTTACGGCTATTAAGCTATCTTCTACACCTCGCACTAAAAGAGGTTCTAAAAAGAACAGTGTTCGATTGCAAGGTCTGCTAGTAAACATTTTTAAGCTTAAAGTATCACAACACTATTTGTTTAAACCAAAAAGTCGTAATATAAAACTAAAGAGTCAAAACGAATGACAATGTCAGGAAATAAATAAATAAATGTGGCAACTTGACATTTTTTACAGCAGAGCTATCACCTAAACCCCCGGCGGGAAATTTAAATTCCAATTAGTCAGCCCGGCGCCGAATATGTCCATGGTTAGAAACAATGAATTTAAAAATCGCGCCCTCGATTACGTGTCTAAAAGTTTAATTGATATCAAATTATAGAAAGGTTGCCTTTTTTATAACAATTGGGCCATTGAACAAAAGTACTACGGAAGGAGTCTAATACTGTTTTTATATATGAATTATGAGGCATATAAATTTATTAACTTAAACAAATGAAATATGTCTCATAAACCTGTATATTATTTAGAGATTTTTCTATCACAGGTATGAGACCAAGATGGGCAAATCAGGGTATGGAATTTCTTTTAACTGTATGTGAACCAGCCAACACAAAATACTTGACTGAAGAGGAATTTGAAGATCTTAAGAAAAATATGGATGAATGTATATCCCACTTGATAGGTAATTATTTAGAAGTTATAGTAACATTTATTTATAGGTAAAGGATTGTGATTATATTTATGCAGTAGCTTGATGGTATGTACTTGTTTCTTATTATTCTGTATAGGTACTACTGCACCTTCAACTCCTGAAAGTGGATTTTACTCAGCCTCTCCACGAATATCTTTGGAGCATATAAGGACTCGGTCGAGGGGGTCGTCTCCTAGCCCCAGACCCACCTACAAAAGTCAACGATCGGCTCCATTAAGAAAAACTAGCTTAGAACAGTCACCCATTTCTGACCTGGTGGATAATGTCAACTTAAGTTTTAACAGGTAACTTTATAACTCTATCTACATCACTTGTATGGTAGTAATGACACGGCATATAAATCACACGGCAGGCTAACTCTGCCCAGATTCCAGTGCTTAAAATTTCTATAAAATTTGACCTTGAAAACACCATTATGGGTGCCGAGTCAGGGCCGGATTAAAACGTATCAAAAAATTTCTCAGAAAATAAACTATTGATAGACAGGGTCGTATTAAAAAAAATACTCTAATTGACTGAAACTGAACTTTATTTACACAATACTTTTATCTAAACAAATGAATCGTAAACCGCGCGTACCTACTCCTCGAAAAGTAAAAATGATAAAATCAATTAAACATTTAACTGTAGAGAATAGACAATTAAAATTAAAAAACATGCCAGGAGTTACAAACAAGAATTAAAGAAATACCCAATAAAATCTCTGGTGAACAATATAAAGAGGCTACGTACAAATTATGTCCATCAATGGACGTAGCAAATTTTGTTAATTAATAAATCAGCTAAAGGAAGAAAATAATGAATTTAAATATAAATGTCTGGCGATATACTTTTCCCGGCCAAAAATATGCAAGACGCTCTTGACAAATCTATTTTGCCTTCCACGTCCAGAGACCCAGAGACACTAAGAAAATGAATATATGACATCGATATTCAACCTGGCTTAGAAAATCTTAGTGTATTTGAGACGCTAAAAAGCAAAGTTGAAAGTTTCGATGAACTGGATGAACTTAATCGATTTTGTGTTCTATGTATTGATGATATGAATATCAAGTTCAACTTATTTTATAATAGTGATCATGATAATATTGTGGGTTTTGAGGACCAGGAGAAGAGGAACAGAGAGTTTAAACCAGCTCGGGTGACTAATGTTGTTATGGTAAGTGGTATCTTTACCAATTAGAAGCAATCCCTAGCTTATTTTTTTATCACACTACATGCACAGGTAAACAGATGAAGGAAATTGTATTTGAAGCAATTATTAAACTTAAAAATATTGGTATGAAAAATATTTTATTAATAAGTGATATAATATATAATACACTACCAAGCTTTTGGTAGTGTCATCACCGAAAAATGTTCAGAAAAACAAAAATAAAACTACAAAAACAAAATATAACACACAAGAAACGAAAATAAAACTACAAAAACCAAATATATCACACAATAAAAAAAATAAAACTAAAAAAAACAAAATATATCACTCAAGAAAAGAATGAAATAAATTAAGCCGCACGCTACTGACTCAAAGCTGCCGGAACTGTATATTGTCGATGACAAAAACTCACAAAAACTACGACTGACTACGACATTGGTTAATTTCTGTTGCTGGCACCCATAATGGCGGCGTGCGCAAGGATATGCGCGTAGCGTTCCTGCCAAAGCGAGTTGGCCTGCCGTGTGATTTATATGCCTTGGTAATGATATACCATTACTACAAAAAAAAATGTCTGGCAGCTTATACGTGATGTCATAAAAACCAGATTTCAAAAACAAATACTAGATTGGTATCACAACAGTTGTAACTTCCAAGAAATAACTGGTATGAAATAACAGTGCGCTGACAATATCGCAGAACCATGAAATTTTGCTATGTTTTTGAGTAAACTAGTCATTATTATTCTAATTTTGCTAACATCAAGTAAATAAGATTTGACAGTTTTTGTTATACAGGGTGCTACAAATTTGAGGTACGAGCATTATCTCGGTAACCGTAATAGATACGAACATGGTTAAATTGGGGCAAAGTTGCGCTTTAGAATGTTCACCAAGATGCCATCTAAAAAGTTTTGAAAATTTCAAGGATCGCCGAGTTTTTTGGAAAAAAACATTTTTTTTGAAAATCAATTTAATTTTTTCCTGTCAATATTGATAAGCTTTCAAACTTAACAATGACCAGGTTCCTGGCCAGCGAGGATCCTGGACCTGTCGCACAGGGGCTGGGGACATTACTTGACATCATTTGTAAAACTGAAATCATTACATCTCCACATTAACAATAAAGTGTACAAAATGCATTCGGAAGTATAAGAAGAAAGTTCAAAGAGCTATAAATAAAATTGAACAAAAAATTTTTAGAATGAATTTAGAATGAGTGGGAGGGGTTTTAATTAATCACTGCGACCTTACAGATCTATTGTGTCCCCCTTTCTTGAGTTATAACTCATCATAGAGTCCCAGAGCTTTGACAAAAACCAGTATCTGGGACAGTTTTATGGAGGGTAGTTCTCCATCTCAATATCAGTCGTACCAAAGTTCATGGCACGAATGGTTGTCGTCTCGGCTCAGTGATGAGGTGTACTGGTGTTTCCCCATTTTCCCCACAGAATCTGCATTCGCCGTTTTTTGTTGTTTCAATCTACTGAGGTGTTCATTGAGGAGACAGTGTCCTGCTAAAAACCCCGTGACAATCCGAAGATTGTTCTTACTTAAATCCAGGAAGATCTTTGATTTTTCTTGATCGTAAGCCCTCAGAAACTAAAAATTAATTTGTGCAATAGGGCGGTTGTTAACCCTTTGGAACATGTAGAGCATTAGAAACTAGTTTGTAGAAGTTGATTTATTTGTAATAACTACGATTAATATTATGCGTATTATTAGATCGCACACTGAGATCTCAAATTCACAATAAAAAAAAAGTTAAAAATAATATCTTTAAATTGCTGACCTGGATATTATTTATTTAAATCTTCCAATTGGCTCGATTTTTTTATTCAGTCTTAATTAGCGCTGATCAATATTGTTGGGATGAATATAATCATATTAAATAATTTAAAAAAACAGAGTCGGATTTAAAATTATTTTAAATAATAATTAAATAGTTTTGTTTTTGTTAATGTACCCAAAACAAAAAAAAGTATAAAGTGTGGCATATCATTGTTCTCAGGAGACCGAGTTCTTTTAAAACCTGAAATAAAAAATGCAGGTCCGTATTTAAAAAAAATTAAGTTGGCCTCTGTATCTCACAAATTATCAGCTAATTTGAAAATCTAAAAGTACTATTAGATAGCCTTAGTAAAGTGGCTATGAGAACGTGTCATTATTTGGTTTTCTAAAAAGTAACGACAGGAAAAAATAAAATGGATTTTCAAAAAAATCAATTTTTTTCCAAAAAACTCAGCAATCCTTGAAATTATTAAAACTTTTTTAATGGCATCTTGGTGAACATCCCAAAGCGCAACTTTGTCCTAATTTAACCCATAGATAAATGCAACAAGTTTAGATTGGAAAGCCCGTACAAATTTTAGGTCGCGAAATTATTTTGGATCGCGACCGTTATACGCGATCTGGCGCTGCTATAGCGGTCGCTAAGAACAACGGCAAACAAAAACAGAAATAATTTTCTCTTGTCAAAGTCAGAATCTTCAAAAATCATAATAATCTTTCAAAATCTAAACCGCTCTCATTAAAGAAATTCCGAAAAGTGTTTATGGCGTCCATTTTCAAAGTAATTATTGCTATCTTGTAAGTTTAATTCAAGTTTTATTTACTCCAACCGGTGATAATTGTGAAAAAGTGGCATTAAAACTTAAAAAGCTGTGCTGTGAACTGTGAACTGCAAAAACCATCGTGGATCGTGGCATAACGTCGGTTTCTAATGTTTCATAGGTATTTCATACATGCGTCCTTATATAAAATAAAGTTTCTTGTATGCAACACACTGTATTTTATTTATAAAATTAAACGAAAATAATAATAAATTTGAATAAACAATATTTGGCGATATAATTCCGGAAAAAGCCGAACCGCTCCGAAATTTTCAAAAGTTTTGGGTCGCGACCGTTGCAAGAATAACGCCAAATAGTGTTTACATTGTCCTTATGGGCACTTTCCAATCTAAACTTGTTTCATTTATCTATGATTTAACCTTCTTTGTATCTATTACGGTTACCTAGATACCAATGCTCGTACCTCGAATTTGTAGCACCCTGTAGAGTTGTAACTGTTGTTGCGACTGTGACTTGCGGCCAAACTAAGTTTATCTTTTTACTTATATTTATTGCTTATTGTTATTGTTATAGGATTGTATGTAGATATTTAATCATAATGATCATATATTATTGTTCATAAATAAATGAAAAATTACAGATGCAAGTGTGCATACAGGGTGTCCCATTTTGATTGAAATCATAGTTTCTTCGTTATTAGTGAAGATAGAAGGATGCGGTTTGTACAAACCTGTCCCACTGTCTAATTTTTGAAATTTGGGACACCCCCGTATCTCTATTATAATGATAGTTAAGGTATCGAGAAGGTCAAAACTGTTTATTGTAGAACTTTTTACCTAGAATATAGTGGCGTAGTTTGTTATTCTACGAAAACAATATCTTTGAAGATATGAACTACTTAAATTTCTTAAATAGAACACCCTATATATTTATAAATCATATGATCTGGCTGGCTATGAGCTTTTTAAAAATATATAACACCTTATATTTATTTTCACTATTTACTCCAATATTTAAAAGAATATCATTAAAAGATAATCTTTTATTAGTAGGCCGTAATTGATAATAAAAGAAACAAAAGAATTATTAAAAGTATACTGCGATCTCTGTCTTTTTTGTAGTAAAACAAAATCATATTTCGAAAATGACAACTCCCACCAAAAAAACTGTTTACGCCACTGGATTCTACGTGAAAACTCTACTGGATACAATTTTAACCTTTTGGAAAAAAGAGTTTTAAAAATTCAACATTTTAAAATTTGCTCTGTAAATTAGGAACTAAGAAGGTTAGGACAAATCTATGTTTAACGTCTTTAGTTTAGTAAAGAAGTAGCATAGTGTTGTAAAAACCGCATCTTTGTATGTATCTCTACTCATAAACGAGAAAACACATAAAACGCACGAAAATGGGACACCCGATACTGTATATTGAAATCTGTTTATTAAAATATATTCTATATGCTTTTGACGTTTTGGCTGTTAATTTAAAAAACAGAACCCTGTTATTTTAAGCACGTTTTAAAAAAATCATACCAGGCACAGTTTAAAGCTTATTCTCTCAGCTCATATTGACTAATAAATCTCCAATTTATTATTAAGAAAAAGTTACTATTATAATGTAATATAACTGTTAAAACAACAAGATACTTATCTTAAAATTCCCCTTTTTAACTAAATGTTCCAGTTTGAAGAAAGAAGACAAAACTATTACACCCATTGTTAAAATCAAACTACCACCAAAGACACATTCTGAGAGAGTCAGAGACGCTATTGAAATGTTAGAGAATAAAATGAACGAGTCATTGCACAAAGAACACCTTATAGGAAAGATTTTAGAACGCAATACAGAGAAGCAATCTCATGTAAGAAGGAGATGTGTAACATTCTCTTGGCAAAGAGGCATCAAAATAGGTAAATAATTTTTCAGTTTATTTAATATCTGCAAAATAAAACGCTAAATCACCACAATACACAAAAACACTTTTACACTTGCGCGGTTCGCTAACCATGTTAGCATCATCTGCTGAAACGCGCGTCCAGTGTAAAAGTAAAAATGTTTTGGTGCATTGTGGTATTTTAGCGTTTCATCTTGATGTTATAACACCAAAGGTTCCAACCCTCAACTGTAATGTAATATCTATTATTTTTATTGATTTTGTTGCTGCATTTTACAGAAATTTACCTTTTTTATTTTTGGCTCTAGGTCAGGGAAGGTTTGGTAAAGTTTATACTGCTGTTAATAATAATACCGGCGAAATGATGGCAGTCAAAGAAATTTCAATTCAGCACAACGACAAGCTGACTATTAAGAGGGTCTCTGAAGAAATGAAAATTTTGGAGGGTATCTCGCATGAAAACTTGGTTAAATACTATGGCATTGAAATTTACACAGTAAGTTATATTTAAAACTTGTTTTACAATTTTTTTATTTATCTAAATATACACATTTTTGCTATAAAGACTTAAGTAAAATACATTTTTGCAAATTCAGTTATTTCAAGCTTTGAATAATGTACATTAAATGAAGTACATAATCCAAAAAAAAATTATATACATAATTTGTCCATAGAATGTATATGTATATGATGTTTGTGACAGTTAATCGTCTGTCAGAATCGTATATAACTCTTGCAGAATAGGTTGTGTGTTTACAATTTTGCTCTAACTATTGACTGCAATAGACGTGTGTTTTAAATTACAACTAAGAAAAACTATAGATTTTAAATTTTATGACATTGCATTTTTGAAGTCAAACTTCTTTACTCGGCTGGCGGTAAAAATTGTTGGACGTGACACACGAGCTAGCGTCACGACACGCGCCACGAAAAGTGATAATGATCGCAAAAATTGGTAAGCCAATGAGGAAGTTGAGATGGGTCCAAAGAGCGTCGTGACTCGCGCCCTAAGTGGGCTAGGGGGCGGAAACTCGGAATCTAGATGGAGCTCGTAGAGGGGGGGCTAACTACTGTTCCAAGTTTCCGTATTTTCATGATATTTTGACGTTTCATGCATTATGAAACCCCATCGTAATGGCGAAAAAATCGTCCAATTTAAATGAAATTTGGTATGTCGATAGATTGGACCAAGGCCAACTCGACACATGTTACTGTGACAGTTAGTTTTGACGTAAAAAAACGTCAAAAGTTGATGTCCATGGCAAAAGGTCCAGACACTGCCGTTCTTTAAAAGATCAGCCTGGGGGCGGACTTTTATTTACTTCATCAGCTGTACATACTTAGATATTGGGTTAGATTCCGTTTCATATTTTGTCGGTTGATTTTTGGTTTTAACTCTATGATGTTTGGATTTATTTATTATTGTAGTGCAAAAAACTAATTATTTTGGTGTTTAAGTGACATAAACTACTACCAGATATATGGTCACTCTCGGTTTCGCATAAAAAAAATAGAAAAATTGAAAAATTACACTTTGTGTAAGTGATTTAACCTAAAAGTGCCCATACATTTTTTACTCATCGTGATTTTTGTGTGTGTTTTTTAAGACTCTAACAATTCATCAATAAAGCTTAAGTGGAGTGTGTTTTTGGTGCTATGCCTCATCTTTGTTGTGTTCCTGGTGGAAAGGATACTTATACTAGGCAGCCTAAAGTGTCCGGAAGAGCAAGAAAAGTGGGTACGAGTTATAAATCAAGAGAATTCTATTGAAAATATCTTTAATAAATTTAAAAATAATATTCTCCCATGATGGTATTAATGAAAACTGGACAATTATGTTTATTTTATTCATATTGTGGAATCTCCACTCCAAGTGTTGTTGGTTCAGCTTCGATAGATTCAAACACGTAAGTAGGTATTATGATCTAGGGAAAAATAAAGAATATGTGTATTAAAGATCATGAAAAAGATTATTATTTTGAGTTCAAATTTTAAAAAAAGATTTTTGTAAAGACAAGACTGATACAGTTTAAAAGAAGAATGTGTTTTTGTTTGATAATATATAATGTATGTCAAGTTGTCAAGCATAACATATATTTGTTCAGTAATTTTTAATGAATAGTGTTGATTATTTATAATACCAAATTAATATCAAATATTTAAGTGATGGCTGAATACAATATGAATAAAATAACAATAAAATTGGTATATTTGCATAATACAAAATTAAGTTTTAGGAATAAAGGTGTTACTAAAAATACTAAGAAATTCATATTTCTTTGTTTTAATTGGTCTAATACTATGGTCTAATGTTATTTACATTTTACGTAAGAATTATACCGTATCATCGAAAAAAATCGTCTAGTTTGCTTGGAAATGAACATCGATGACATTCCCTAAATAACTGTACACATAAAATAATTAACTAGAATTTTACAATCTTGGAAAATTTGATATTCTTGAACCTTGTTTCTAAATATTCTAAATTTTTTGATTTTCTTGGGATTTAGATTCGGGAAAACGCTGATTATGTTTTTATTTGGTTTTTCATTATTATTATTTGGTTTAAAAAAAAACGTTTCGGCTAACATTATAGCCTTCATCAGTGTTGTGTCATATGAAAAAAATAGTGTCGAATATAATCCAAAAAATTACATATAAAATATTCACACCACACATATAATGTTTACTGCGTACTCCATAGTCAATGTAGATAATTTTAGTGTAAAGAATAATAATTTTAAAAAATATGTGGTCATCTTTTGATAAGTTTATATCAGTTTATTAATTGCAGTAAACATTATGAGGTGTGAATTATATTGTATATGTAATTTTTTGGATTATATTCGACACTATTTTTCTCATATGACACAACACTGATGAAGGCTATAGTTAGCCGAAACGTTTTTTTAAACCAAATAAAAATAATGAAAACCCAAATGCGTTTTTCCCGAACCTAAAAATCCCAAGAAAATCAAAAATTTTAGAATAATTTTACATATAAAATGCCAGCGATCTTCATTTCATAGCCATCTCTGACGCCTTTTTTTAGATAATATTCTAAAAAATCCAAATCAAACATTGATACTTGCAAAATATACATATAAATTTTGTGTATGCAAATAATAATACATCACTATTAGTAGATATTGAATGTTTTTTGTTAAATTAGATCGATTTTCAAACCCCAAAATTTAAAATATATTTACATTTTACCCATTATCTTATGTACCTATACATTATTTGTACATTGTAAAACATTTGCTGCATTTGTATGGTTCCTAGTTTATATGCCAAAGTATTTATTACTATAAATAGGTATATATGTTGTAGTTATTAACTGTATATTATGTATATTTCATGTAAACTATATCATTTTTAAAATACAAACCAAAAATCTGAGGAATAATTATGTTTTCCATGTATTTTACAACATATTTATTAATCCGTTATATCTAACTAGCGTGACGTCATAAATCTCGCCCGAAGGCTGATCTTTTAATAGAAGGCACTGGTCCAGAGTGCACACACAATGGGCGTTGATTTAATTGCCTCTGTTATGCTCAGAGAATCAAGTCTTTGCACTTTGTTGAGGCTGCGCATTGTTTGTTGCATGACCTTAGGCCACCATACCAAGGATGCATATGTTACTGAAGACCTCACTACCCCAGTGTACCGTCTATGTATTGGCTTGCATATACAGATTGTTAATTGGACGGTTACTTATTGGGGAACAGAATGGCAACACTGCCTAGATTCCAAATGAGTACTAAGCTAAGCTGCCAACTCGTCCCGTTGCGTCGTCTCTCGACGAGCGGGCCGAGGTTGCCGTATTTCAACCATAAAGCTCTTGCCGCGAGTAATAAACAATTTAACAACCTGTATGAATGGTCGCAACCAAAGAAAGAGCCAGGAACGTCATCAATATTTTGCCGGTGAACGTCTCCTCGAGATTAGACAGTACAGTTATTTTATAGCGTCAGAATATAAACATCTAAGCATCACCGAACCGTCTAATCGTAAGCAAGGAGCGGTCTCTATGCATTCGCGTCATTGATGACGCTCCTGGCTCCTTTAGTTGCAACCACTTTATATGATTATGGATATAAATCATTAAATGGATCTTAACAAAAACATAACTGTTCACAACTACACTATGGTATTAATTTTTTGGATTTTCTAGGATAAAATGTTACTTTTTATGGAATTTTGTGCTGAAGGTACTTTGGAGAATTTAATCAAAGCCACTGAAGAGGGTTTACCTGAATTGCTGGTTAGAAAATATACCTACCAATTGCTGTGTGGTGTAGCATGCTTGCATGATCATGGCATAGTTCATCGCGATATTAAACCGGCAAATATCTTTCTTACTCAGGAAGGAAATTGCTTAAAAATCGGCGATTTTGGATGTGCAGCTAAAATTAAAAACAATAACACTATGCCTGGAGAATTACAGGGATTTGTTGGAACTCAGGGTAAGCAACAATAGGAAAAAATATGTAGTTCGCAATAAATTAGAAACCTTTTATTACTTTTTTTTTACCTATTTCAAACTTTTTGTCTGACGCTGTGTCATAGATAAATGAAACAAGTTTAGATTGGAAAGTGCCCATAAGGACAATGTAAACACTATTTGGCGCTATTCTTGCAACGGTCGCGACCCAAAACTTATGAAAATTTCGGAGCTGTTCGGCTTTTTCCGGAATTATATCGCCAAATATTGTTTATTCAAATTTATTATTATTTTCGTTTAATTTTATAAATAAAACACAGTGTGTTGCATACAAGAAACTTTATTTTATATATAAGAGCTTTGTTTTGGTTCACGCGTTAGGACAGATCGCACATGCGTCGTAAGCGTTTTATGTTTTGGTTCATTCGGAATTGATTCTGAATGTATACACAGCTGTTTTGGTTTCTGGCTGGGACTGGTTCTGGACAGTTCTAGGATCGTCCTAACGATTCGCGCCTCTCAGTAGGGACGGTTTACGAATTAACAGTTCGCACATGCGCAACAATAATAATCTTTGATGTGTTTTGGTTTATGGTTCTTTCGAATTGATTCCGAACCGATCCGAGATAATAACTAGTACGCAATTTGTTCTGCGCAATTCTAGAATCGTCCTGAAATTCGAACCAAAACAAAGCTAAGGACGCATGTATGAAATACCTATCAAATTTTGGAAACCGACGTTATGCCACGATCCACGATGGTTTTTGCAGTTCACAGTTCACAGCACAGCTTTTTAAGTTTTTTATGCCACTTTTTCACAATTATCACCGGCTGGAGTAAATAAAACTTGAATTAAATTCACAAGATAGCAATAATTACTTTGAAAATGGACGCTATAAACACTTTTCGGAATTTCTTTAATGAGAGCGGTTTAGATTTTGAAAGATTATTATGAATTTTGAAGATTCTGACTTTGACAAGAGAAAATTATTTCTGTTTTTGTTTGCCGTTGTTCTTAGCGACCGCTATAGCAGCGCCAGATCGCGTATAACGGTCGCGACCCAAAATAATTTCGCGACCCAAAATTTTTACGGGCTTTCCAATCTAAACTTGTTGCATTTATCTATGCGCTGTGTTACCCTACCGACGCGTGACGTTACGCTATTTCTAACGATACAGTTGTCATAGATAAAGGAAATAAATTTAGATTGAAATGCCCGTCAAAATTTTAGGTCGCGAAATTGTTTTGGGTTGCTAAGAACAACCGCAAACAAAAACAGAAATTATTTTCACTTGTCATTATCTCTTATCAAAATCTTCAAAAATTATAAAATCTTTCATAGTCTAAACCGCTCTCACTGAAAAAATTCCTAAAAGTGTTTAAAACGTCCATTTTCAAAGTAATCATTGCCATCTTGTGAGTTTAATTTAAGTTTTATTTACTGAAAACCCGTGATAATTGTGAAAAAGTGGCGTTAAAAACTGAAAAAAGCTGTGTGAATTTTGAACTGAAAAACCATCGTAGATCGTGGTATAATGTTGGTTTCCAATGTTTCAGGTATTTTATAAAGGTATTTCATACATGTCCTTATATAAAATAAAGTTTTTTGTATGCAACACACTGTATTTTATTTGACAAATTAAAAGAAAATAATAATAAATTTGAATAAATAATATTTGGTGATATATATCTGGAAAAAGCCGAACCGCTCCGAATTTTTCAAAAGCTTTGAGTCGCGACCGTTGCAAGAATAGCGCCAAATACTGTTTACATTGTCCTTATGGGCACTTTCCAATCTAAACTTGTTTCATTTATCTATGGCAGTTGTTTGCGTTGGTTGCCTCGGAAACGCAGTATGTTGTCGGTACATTACTTAAGGGCTTAATCATGAGGGCTTATGCCTTGTTCATTCTCACTTGATTCTCACTATACCTACCATATCATGTAAATGAATGTGCGGAATGTGGATGAGGTTTAATCATAGATAATGGAAATAAATTTAGATTGGAATTTTTACCAAAATTTTATTTAATAGAAATACTCCGCAAATCAAACGATTCTCACTATACCTACCATATCATGTAAATGAATGTGCGGAATGTGGATGAGGTTTAATCATAGATAATGGAAATAAATTTAGATTGGAATTTTTACCAAAATTTTATTTAATAGAAATACTCCGCAAATCAAACGATTTTCGTAACAGTAAATTTATAAATATGGATATTGAAATTATTGACAATATAGCGACAACTTAATGTTTTTTTAAATTGTTTATTGTTTTTATTACTTATTATTTTTTCCAGCTTACATGGCTCCCGAAGTGTTCACAAAAAACATGAACGAAGGTCATGGCAGAGCAGCTGATATTTGGTCTGTAGGATGCGTCGTGGTTGAAATGGCTTCAGGAAAAGTAAGTTTTAGTTAACATATATATAATGTCAATAACCAGGACTATTTGTATCTTTCAGCGTCCCTGGGCTCAGTTTGATTCAAATTATCAAATTATGTTTAAAGTGGGAATGGGTCAAAGTCCAGATCCTCCAGATGACATGATAGATGAGGGTTTAGATTTTCTAGAATTATGTTTCAAACATATACCAAAAGAAAGAGCGACTGCGCACCAACTTTTAGATCATAACTTTGTTAAAGTAGGTGATGATTTGGTGTAGATATAAGTGATATATTCTTTCACAATTAAGTAATTTTAAAGTGTCACAAATCTAAATATGTTAAAGTGTTAAAATATATTTTGATCTTGAATATTAATGGTTAAGATAAGATTGATATCAAATGTCACTTAATTATATAGAAAGAATAGGTATTTTCATTTAGAGTTGTTATTTTCTTAATAATACAAATTTACTTAACACAAAAGACCAAATATTCTGTTATAAAATCTGATGTACCTATTATGGTAAGATATGTGTAAAATTTCTGTTAACACCCAATATGGTTTCCGTCTAAGGTAAAGTTGTTAACAGAGTATTTAATGTTTATAAATACCTATATAGTCTATCGTTTTATATGCACCTTGTGTACTATTTTTATTTATACAATGATTTTAACTGTAAATAGTAATAATTTAAAGGACAATTATGTATTTCAAACACAGCCTTTTTATATTAAAATGGTTCTTTTTATTTGTTAATTTTATTAAATTCTAGGATGTGATATCAATATTCCCAGCCTGATGAATTCTTAATATTGAAAGTTATTGCTTTGCAAAAAGTAATGTGATAAAATTATATTTATGTATGTTTGACCAGATGACTGTTAAGTAGATTATATTAAAATAAAACAGTATTTTAACTGAGAGTAGTGTTTATTAAATACAAAATTTTCATAAATTATGTACAAAATTTTTTGATTAATTTAAGGATACAAATGAAATTTAAAGTAAAAGTATTTCATCTAGTCGATAAATATTCCTCATACTCCTTTTCTGAAAGCAGGTTGTACTTTTGAGCCATGGCTTCTACCGACATTGAGTAAGGTCCATAACATTTTGGATAAAGCACTCCAATATATCCAAGTTTTTTGTAATCTGATACAAGTAGTTGTGGATCTTTTAGAATATGACTGTTAATCTCTATTAGTGATGCTAAAATGCTTGTGTATATTGGATACCTATTTTCATCATCTTTACATTGAAGATAGCACAAAACCGATTCTCTGTTTAATTTTTTTGCACCATTCTTCTTTTTTCCTGATACAATAATCTCTTTCAGATTTCTACCGTTAACATTAAAATCGATTTTCTCAATAAGTTTTCCTTTAAAAATATCGTGACCTTTTGCTATAGAAATTAATACCAATCTATTTGAATGAAATCTTAATAGAATATCATGATTATGCTCCTTATCATTAAATGCAACACAATATTTATCTTCATAATATCGTAGGTAAAAGGGTGAAAAGTTCTCAATCTCTAACGGTTGAAGAGACTCTAGAATTGGCACCGAAAGTTCTTCAATTTTCTTGTAAATTTTTTCTTCTTCAACATTATCCATGTTATTTTTTTAACAACTTATAAACTGCTATAAATTGGAAGATAAATTTTAAAAACCATGGAGGTTAGAAAAACAATAAAAAAACCTTAACAAATATGAAAATAAACCACAGAAGATATAATAAATCTAAGATATAAATCATATATAAAATCGAGTAATTATAAAGTTTATAATGATCTATATATGATGATCATATATATGATGATATATATGATCAAGAACAAAAAAACTTATAAATATAAAAGAAGAAATAATTTTCTCCTCTTTTCTATTTGTATGGCTTATGGCTTGTTTTCTAATTGCCATGTAAAAAAAATAAAAATAAAAGTTTAATTTCTTTTAAATTTTTTACCTTTGTTGTTCAAGGCATAAAATAATTAACTAGAAAGAAGTGTCAACTCTGTGTTAAATCGTGGAAACACGATACGCCACCGAAAGCCTTCGTTGTCGTCTGGAGAACTAATTTTCCAATTGACAGGTTGACATGATAAGGACATGATGGCTTAATTTTCATTTCCGTTTCCGGTTATTCAATGGCGGGTCCTCTCTTCAGTTCAAATGTATTTTGTATTTTTACTTTTCATAAATAAAACCAAAAAATTATTTATTCACATATATTTATTTGAAATATGGAACAACGTGACTAAATAAATATAAAAATATAGAGGATTGTATTGTTTCAATACCAATTAGTTAATTATATGTACTTTTAACGTAAATTAGTTAAGGTATAAGCATGACTTACAGTAATTTGTAAATAAACACACGTATTCGCAGACTTCAAGGACAGAAAACGGACACAGGAACATGAAAACGGGAGCCTTATACAAAAACCTGAAAACAGAAAAACAATTTTTTTTATACTAAAATTAACAATGTAAAAATATCAATAGGTATAAAATATAAATATACTGTTTAAAAAAGCGTCCATTATTCCCAAAGAGACCTGGCTTATAAATCAAAAAGAAGCAAAAAGAGACTTTTTTAGTCGGATAACATAATCAGATTATCAGTCCGATTTATTGCATTATTGACAATAAATCGCACATACTGGAGATAACTAATGTTGGCTATAGTTAACAATGATCTTACCTTGCTGTAAATTGCTTCCATTTTCAGAAAAATCGCCGATCAAAGATATTATAATACCCTTTTCTTGCATCTAAAAAATGTAAAAACAGTGTTTATTTACTACCTATTTTTCATATACATGGGACATACCTACTACTGCAGAAACGTCGTTTTCTCCAGGATTCTTCATGTAATATATATTTTATATACTTTATTACCATTATATTTATAAATTTCAGCCGAAATATTAAATTGAACTTCCAAAACGAAACTAAACGGAATGAATTAAATGGCGTCGAATATTTTCGAATTTGTTCTAGAACAAATCTGAAGTTGTCTCTGAAACTGAAATCTGTCAATTCTAAACTGTGAAGTTAGACAATAGTTAGACAAAAACAATGCTGTCCTTGTCTAGGCGGCCATACTTGTCGTGAGGAGAATGACAGGAATGACACTAATGACTGTTTCCAATTTTCCTATTTCACTGTCACCCCCCTGGTTCAAGGTGTTTAAAATTTGTGCTATTTAATGGTGGTGTAATAATAAATAATGTTTGATATAGAGGAGGAAAAGCTACCAAGTGCTTTAAAAGACGAAAACCGATTAAATGTGTTATTCGCTCCCCTCCGAAATAAAAGTGTAAATCCTAAAGACTGGGCAGACAAAATCTCGAGCTGGAAAAATATAATTAACATTTACTGTACAACAAATGATATTTACACAATTTCTTTATCAAATCTTAATAGTAAATTTATTAGACATGGTAGACCCCCATCATGCTTGAAAGAAGTATTTGATGAAATGATAAAGAATCATGAAATTGAAACCAAGGAGGATTTTATTAAAAGATCTGCTGTATCTTGGAGTGGCTGGCTCACAGATATTGTTATAAAGAGACCCTTAAGTTGGTCATACAATACGATAAAAAGAAATATTTTTTTTACTTCAAATATTGATACAGTATATGTGTATTTAGAAGTAATAGTAAAAAAAAGTGAAGAATTATTTTCATCTATACCTGTAAAATGTAGAAATAAACTGATTGGTTTTAAAGATCTGTTGGATATACTCAATAAGGATGTATCTGCTGCTGATAATGTAAAATTACTTTTACATTATTTAACTACTGAAAAGAAAATTGCTGTAAAGACAGTGACAGGTACAAATATAAATGAATTTGATTCATTTGTGATTAAAGTTGGAGATGGACATGCACCAGTTAGTATATCTGATTTGGATGTAGGTATATATAAGCTTGAAGAAAATGAAACTATTTTATCAAAAAATATTGAAGATATAGAAGAACGTATTGAAGAGTGTATTAAGGAAGCTAAGGCTCATTTACAAAAGAATCATAGACAGATGGTGAGATTAATTGTTACTGATTTTGCACAATTTCATAGTATATATTTTGCAGGCAAAGAATTCGTTAATGAAAAAGCATGTATTGGAAAAAAAGTTGGAAAAGAAATCAGTTGCCCTACTTAACATACAAAATTGCTTGGAGCAATTAAGAGGGACCCATGAAAATGTTACAATATGGAATACATATAAAAGTACTTTAAATGCATTTAACACAACATTCAAAGATACTGGTCTAGTTGAAGAAGCAGTAGATAACACTCTATCTGAACTAGCAGATGTAAGACATATTTTTGTAATATTTGGTAGACATTACAAAGTTTGTATTTTAGGTTTTAGATCAACATGAAGATATACAAGCAGCTTTGGCTCGCTTACCTAATACAGGTGAAGATAATTCTGAACTAGAACAAGAACTAGAAGATTTAATGAAAGCAGATACTAGTGATACAAATACTAATCAAGATATACCGCCAGACAATAATAGTGGTGAAAGTGAAGACCTGGAAACTCGATTTAAGCAACTCTGCTTAGATCTACCAGACGTGCCAGATAGTAGTCCTAATTTATCTACTCAAGAAACTGCCTAATATTAATAACTTTAGAATTTACAATTATAATTTAGCTGTTTATTCAAAGGATTGTTTTATTATAAGCTTCCTAATTGAAAAAGAAAAAATAACACTAAATATAAAAATATTAGGTTTTTATCACAGATAAAGATTATAAGATATAAAGATAATTTTTATTTTAAGGGTCTAATGTAAAATTTTAAGAATCTGTTTTGTTACCAAAAAAAAATACAAATGCTTTAAATATATATTTGTAAAAATTTTATTGTTTTTTTACAATTACACCATATAATAAATTAAAAGAAATGTTAGAAGGATAGATCAGCACACAACTTCAAACACCTCTATAAACACATTTATTTTCGGGTTTTAAGTAACTGTAAATTTTAAATACTGAAATTTCAACAATTCTTAGAAAATGTAAAATGGTCGACCAAAGCGTTTTTTTGAGATTATTGAATATAAATATCAAGCTTTCGTAAGAGTAGTGACCAGTATTAAACGGAATGTAAATATAAAAAGAATCATCTGATATCAGTTGTCTTTTGATATTAAATTAATACACAATTCCTTGCCATTAACTCATTAATCTAATCATGGTACATTATACTAAAAGTATAAGTAAAATGCAATGTCGCTCTATAAAATTTCAGCATATTCAATACTTAAAATACACTGGTCCTATATATACAGGGTGTAAGTAATAAGTGCCAAAAAAATTCTGGATGTTTTTACTTTTTAAAAATGATAGGTTATTTGTTATTTCATATTTTTCATGTAAGTGGCGTTTCTTAAAATATTAGTTTTTACAGGGTTACACAAAGAAAAAGTGGAGCCGTTTGAACATCCTGTATGAAATCATCCAAAAAATAATTCCATGTAAAGACACAATTTGATTAATGACACCCACACTAATTTCCTTTTTTAGAACAATCCTCTTTCAAAATAATGTGATTTTGGTACACCCCATATAACCAAATATCTTTGTAGGTAAAACGCAAAATCAAAAAAATTTCAAGTTGTTTTTTAACACGCAATAACCTGAATTTTTTCACACCTAATTCATTTACACCATGTGTAATATCATACATACATATATGTATTTTTATTTATAAAAAATTACTGAAATTTATAACTTAACATGTACAATATTTCTTAAAATTTGCCAAATCCGAGGTAAGTATAAATTTATATTTATATTACAAAATGCTAAGGGTCCAGTAACATGCGAAAAAAATCTACTAGAAAAAAAAGTAGAAAACCAACGTTCAGTAAATATATTATAACAAAGTGACAATAAGTGGCTCTATGCTATATTTTTCAAATTTAATAAGCCAATAGCGTATCATCAAACCAAGCTGCCTTAGAAATATCAGTGGATGGATAATTCTACACATAAAATGTCATCCGTTATTTTAACTTGACAACTTGGATTATATGCATAAAAAAATACAAATTATATGTTATTTGATTTTTGTTTTTATTATGTAACGAAAATATTTTCGTTACATTTTTCCTTTTATATCGTTTATACGTTTTTTATATATTTTCGATTTTTTGCGGAACCTCGATAGTGGTACACATCACTAGCGATGGTTGTTAGTTTAAATTGTTTAAATATTTTATTTATTTTCTGGTTGCCTATCGGTTATCGATTATAATTTGTTTATTTTAATGAAAACGAAGGTTTATTATTAATATTTTGTTTGGTGTTGTATAATTAAGATGCAATTGTTACACACATTTTTTTTGAAGGCATGTAAGAGATTTTATCGTATGTATTATTTTTACTATTAATTATAAAACTTTTATATTGACATTTGGTACTTAACGCATATCTAAATGAATGGGAGAATTCTATACAGGCACTTGTTTTGCCAAAATCTCTCATCTTGATCTTCTTTGCTTAAACACCTAGTTTTTTTTCAGACACCGGCACGAGGTACGACATGGAATTTTTTTTTTAATTCATAACTTTTTGAGTATATTTGACACAATTAAAAACAATATCAGATTGCACATTAACCATTAATAGGAAACAAACAATAATATGGAATGCTCAAAACGTTTATACGAGGTACAATTAAAAAGTATACAAGTCCTCTCAAACAAACTTAAAAATCTAAACGAAAGACAAAAATTATCAAGTTCTCTTATTTTGTACATTGTAAAAATAAAAAAGTGCCGTGGCACATATTTTTCTTAACCTAGGTGTCTGAAGAGATATTTATATTTTTTGATAAATGTTTTGACTACGCCTATGATGTATACGATGGTATCATACTAATTAATTACGAAAAAAATGTATTAAAATGTTAACAAAAGGTACAAAACTAGTATCGACGTATAGCACACATCAGGTACATATAATATCAGAAAAATCATTATCTGATTATTTATTATCTGAATTATCTATTAAAAATAATAGTTAGTCTATGACTGCTGCGTCTGTGTCTTTGAACGTGGCCGGGATCTGTACAGCCGCTATCTCCAGATTGCTGCAGATTAGTCTGAAGGAAGGTCGCTCTTTGGGGTTGTGTTTCCAGCACATTTCCATGATGATCTTGAAACCGTCAGGGCAAGTGGACGGAATGGGTGGTTTGAGTTTGCCAGAACCCACATTATAGATGATGGCAGCTCGTTCCATTCCATCGTAAGGTACTTCACAAGTGACCAGTTCCCACAAAACCACTCCAAAGAACCAGATATCGACATTTTCGCTACAAGCTAGTTCTTTTATGGCTTCTGGTGCCATCCAAGCCACAGTACCGGCCAATGGCATCTGTTCGCTGACCTCGTTCCAGGTTCGAGAAGTATCAAAGTCGCTGATTCTGATTAATTGGTCTTCGCCGATAAGTACGTTGGGACTCTTCAAATCCCTATGAATAATCTTGTGCATGTGCAAATAACGCATCCCACTAGCTATCTGCTTGGACCAACCAGTTTGGACCGAGGTGCCATCATCTATAATGTGGGTTCTGGCAAACTCAAACCACCCATTCCGTCCACTTGCCCTGATGGTTTCAAGATCATCATGAAAATGTGCTGGAAACACAACCCCAAAGAGCGACCTTCCTTCAGACTAATCTGCAGCCATCTGGAGATAGCGGCTGTACAGATCCCGGCCACGTTCAAAGACACAGACGCAGCAGTCATAGACTATTATTTTTAATAGATAATTCAGATAATAAATAATCAGATAATGATTTTTCTGATATTATATGTACTTGATGTGTGCTATACGTCGATATAGTTTTGTACCTTTTGTTGACATTTTAATACATTTTTTCGAAATTAATTAGTATGAGACCATTGTATACATCATAGGCGTAGTCAAAACATTTATCAAAAAATATAAATATCTCTTCAGACACCTAGGTTAAGAAAAATATGTGCCACGGCACTATTTGGTGACATGGTCACAATTTGCGCTCGGGTGTTATTTGTCCTTGGATTCCTTAGTCATTGCTTTTAATTTATTTTTTGTATTTTTCCTACAAAAAATATACATATTTTTTTATTTTTACAATGTACAAAATAAGAGAACTTGATGATTTTTGTCTTTCGTTTAGATTTTTAAGTTTGTTTGAGAGGACTGGTATACTTTTTAATTGTAACTCGTATAAACGTGTTGAGCATTCCATATTATTGTTTGTTTCCTATTAATATGCATAGAGAAGCTGAATAAATTAGGCAAAGAAAACAAAGTCCTCCTACACTGGGTGCCTGCTCACCAAGGGATAGAAGGCAATGAAAAAGCAAATAATCTAGCTAGGAAAGGAGCGAACACTCCACTAACTGGACCAGAACCGTTCTGCTTTCCAAGTGGTAACCAACTCAAGGCGGAACTCAAGAACTTGGAAGATTCCATCCGCAACCTGGAATGGAAATCTTGCAATGGTCTAGGACACTCGAAGAAGTTTCTGAGGGCTTATGATCAAGAAAAATCACAGATATTCCTGGGTCTGAGTAAGAACAATCTTCGGATTGTCACGGGGTTTTTAACAGGACACTGTCTCCTCAATGAACACCTCAGTAGATTGAAACTAAGAAGAAACGGCGAATGCAGATTCTGTGGGGAAGATGGTGAAACACCAGTACACCTCATCACTGAGTGCGCCGAGACGACAACCATTCGTGCCATGAATTTTGGTACGACTGATATTGGAGATGGAGAACTACCCTCTATAAAACCGTCCCAGATACTGGCTTTTGTCAAAGCCCTGGGACTGTATGATGAGTTATGATTCAAGAAAGGGGGACACAATGGATCTCTAAGGTCGAAGTGATTAACCCCCCTCCCACTCATTCTAAATTCTAAATTCCTATTAATGGTTAATGTGCAACCTGATATTGTTTTTAATTTTGTCAAATATACTCAAAAAGTTAGGAATTAAAAAAAAAAAAAAAAAAATCCAAGTCGTACCTCGTGCCGGTGTCTGAAAAAAAACTAGGTGTTTAAGCAATGAAGATCGAGATGAGAGAGAGAGAGAGCGATTTTTGGCAAAACAAGTCCCTGTATAGAATTCTCCCATTCATTTAGATATGCGTTAAGTACCAAATGTCAATATAAAAATTTTATAATTAATAGTAAAAATAATACATACGATAAAATCTATTACATACCTTCAAAAAAAATGTGTGTAACAATTGCATCTTAATTATACAACACAAAATATTAATAATAAACCTTCGTTTTCATTAAAAATAAACAAATTATAATCGATAACCGATAGGCAACTAGAAAATTAAAATATTTAAACAATTTAAACCATATTTAAACTAACAACCATCGCTAGTGATGTGTACCACTATCGAGGTTCCGCAAAAAATCGATAATATATAAAAAACGTATAAACGATATAAAAGGAAAAATGTAACGAAAATATTTTCGTTACAATTATTTACGAAAGTTACAGCATAAAGCCATTTTTAATTGTCATTTGCCAAACATATAAAACTGCATTTTGTGATTGCACGATAAATTTCAAAATACTAAATAAACCGAATTAGTACTTAAACAAATAGTCATAAGTTTGCTACAACTTAGTATATGATGTTTAGAAAGTAATATTCTAAACTAAAATATCAATACATACAGTTAAAAATGCTATACATATTTTTATGGGTATTTTGAGCTCTATAAAACAACCACTTAGGGGAAATATACAGATTGTACAATAATTATAACTATTTTTTATCGCCTTATGATTGTAAAGATTTTCGTTTAAATTAAACAATCTGTATACAGTGCTGAACAAATCTTGCAGCTACTTTACATTACCCATAATTTTTTTATTTGATTAAAGATAAAAAGAGTTATTAAACCAATTAACTAGATCAAAACATTATAACCAGATAGGGGTGATGGTCCACTTTAGGTACGTCGTCAATCTTGAAGTTATTGATGTAAATTTCATATTCATATATTCTACAATGTTTTAACGTTTTAAGTAAGGATCGTACGGATACTCGGCTAAATATTTGAGATTTCTGCAATAAAATTATTTATTTTTTGAGGTTAGAATATAGCTTTCCTTATTAAGTTTAATAAGAGTGACAAGGAAGACGCAGATTTAGGTTTATTTGTCTTTTGCTTGCGTCTGCGTATATCGCTGGCGGTAACAATGAAATATTGAAAATCGGAATTTTGTTTTATTTATACTTTCCTATTAATTTTGAAAAATAGCGGTAGCGATATTAAGCTGAAAGAATAGATATTATATTTTGATCTGTGTTAAAGGTTGAGAAGAGGATCACAATGGTAAAAACGTCCGCCGTAACTGAGTTTTGATTGCATTGGTTAGAACATTGCTTTTGGAGGGTTTGTTTTTGGTGTTATTTATGGACGATCCGCACTTTTTTTTGTTAGAAAATGTCATTATAAGTGTTCCTCTTCTCAATTCTGTATAGAAAATTTTAAAATTTTGATGTATCTAAAGTGGACCAGACCCATAGGATGTTTTTAAAAAGTGTCACAGTAGCCTCTAAAACGACAATCGATGACAAATTGTTACATGACACCTAGTTAGTCAAAAATTATTACTTCAATTAGAAAAAAGTAAAAAATTTGCATACTTTCAAAAAATAAATTTAGATAAATTTGCTTGTGAATAATTGGCCTACCTGAATTTATTTACACATTTTCATTTATATACATACAGGTATCAGACAAATTTTTGTCAATTTGTAAACAAAACATAGAGGGAGAGTCTAGCTATTCAAACGCTACTGTGAAGCAGTTGTTATACTCAAAAAATAAGGTAGTGTAAAGTACCTTTCAGGGTTGCGATCAAACCAATTCAGCTCTCGGACCAGAACATCGAAAAATAAATATGTGACTGATGAACTAGAAAAGTTGATTTATTTGTAAAACATCCTTAACAAAAAAAAGTCGAATATATTACACCGACTTGCGTTGTCGAGGTCCGCACGCGCCGATTTTAATGAGATAAACGCGCACTGTTTATAGGCACCACTCCTACCAACTGCTATTTAATTTACTTATATATCAGTTCATTAAGAGGTATTTAATATTCATCTAAGTCGAATTCTTCCGAAATGAAATCATCATCTAGTTGTAGGCTCTGGAAATCCACTTTGTATCTCAGCAAACCTATAAGGAAAAAAACAATATTAGGTTTAAACACTAACTTGTATAAAAAGTTCCCTAATACTACTTTATTTATATAAACAATTTTTCCGGTATGCTAATAAATTTTGAATATTTTTAAAGAGATAACCTATAAGAACTATAGAACATACTATAATCATACTCTTTAGGATTACACCTTTGATGTCTCAGTAGAAAATTACTCACTAACCACAATACATTAACTAGAGTTTCCAACTTTCAAAATAACAAATAAAGGACGAGAGGATAAAAAACGCGACAGGTGAAATTTTTTAAACCTCGCCCAAATGTTCAAGAATTTACCCAAAAGTTATGTAAACGTTATACGGATGATGATCTTTCTTACTTTCTTATTGCATTCACCAATATTTCTTTTCTGTACGAACGTACGGCAGTAGCGAAAGACATACTGTTGGCAGATTAATAATTTTATTAAGCATTGTTACAATAATAGACGATAATTTTTTAGATTTTGAGTTTGGTATGTAACAGAGTACTTTCTCGAGACGTGAGAGAAAAGGAGTACAATCAAAAAGAGGACTGTCCTCTGAAATAGAGGACGGTTGGCAACCCTAACATTAATCCTTTCTTGTCATTTTGAGCATAAGTTTAACCGACCATGCATAGCATTATCATATAATTTAAATTAAACTATTTTTAAACCATAACGTAAATTATATATTTATAAACTATATTATTTATAACCTCTAATGTAAGAATTTATATCTGCCTTTGCTACAATGTATAGTTACATCGAATATAAGCATTCATATCCAGCGTTATGTTAGTAACTAACATTAGTTAAAGATATAGAATGTAGAATTCTTCAGTCTTACATTCTTCTCTAGTTACAAATCTGTTTATACAGATACATTTTACATTGCAGCATTAATCATATATACTCTGTTTTACGGCTCAGGTAAGATTTCGACAGACGATGACAGAAAAATGGCAGATGACGTCCATGCCAATCCATTTATGTCAGTAAAAAAAGTTTCTAATGTTTTTTAAGTTAACTATGGATGGGTTTACACATAAATAATCCGTCATGCGTCGTCTGTTGTCCTTTTTAGCCAGTCTTATTGGTTTGTTTCAAAAACGACACATCATATTTCAACATGATTGGAGTGACGGGACGATGAACGACGTACGGTAGCAGATGCGTATGTACTCGACTTAAGATTTTTGAGACTCATCAAACTCTTATCAAATTATAGGTTATAATTTGTGGCAAATCATAGGTTATAATTTGTGTCAAATTATAGGTTATAATTTGTGTCAAATTATAGGTTATAATTTGTGTCAAATTATAGGTTATAATTTGTGTCAAATTAAAAAATCATAAACATTTGCGAATGGCTTTTGCATTTTGGTTCGTATTATTACTGTGTTTCGTGTGAACGTTATACGGATGAGGATCTTCTAGGGAAAAATCCAGAGAAAATTAAGTGTAGACCCAGAGCACAGTTTATATTACTTATTAGTACTCAGAGAGTTGTATTAGAAACGAATAAAGTTTGACCATCTCGTATATGATACTGTTGCGAGCCGGTGTGGACTCGACCTAACCTCACAATATGGCCCGCCCTCGGATGACCTTAACATCGCATAGACACCGCAATGACTCATTCGTTCGAGAAGAATCGAGACCCACTAGAATGGACGCGTACATACGAGAACATTCGAAAACCTTCTCTATGCGCCTAACGATCTTTGGACTATTCTAGATTTCTTTTACCTGTCGGTATAAAAGCCGGCGGCAGTGGCCTAGAGAGGGCAGTTATAAATATACAGTTGACGCGCTAAAATTCAAAATAAATTCTTAGTTATAAATCGTTTGTAAATAGTTCTATAAGTCTTGATCGTTATTGTTTTTGTTAATTAGTGTTAAATAAATAGTGTTTAAATAAATTGTGACTTTCTATCCACACGGAACCGACGAAAAACGTAACAATTGGTGTCAGGTGTGGCGTGTGTGATAGACTAGAAAAATAAAAAGACTAACAATGGCTCCGAAGAAATTGTTAAAAGACTTGAAAGTGTCCGAACTGAAATCCATATTGGAAGAGAGAGAGAGTGCGAGACAGATGGAAAGAAAAGCATTTTGCAAACTAGACTGAGAGACGTTTTGAGGGAGGAAGGCGAGGATCCGGACACATTTTGCTTTGAGTTCGAAGGTGACCTTGACTCGTGCCTACAAAAATTAGAAGCTAAAATGACGGAAAACTCTCAAAAATTAGAAGACAGTTTGAATGATAAAATGACAGAGAATTCTCAAAAATTAGACGACAACTTGAACAATTTGAATAGTAAAATAATTGACTTGGAAGTTAATTTAGAAGAGAAAATCAGTGATAAAATTAATATTTTGGAAGATAAGATCGCAGAAAATTCTAAACACATACAGGCCAGCTTTAATAATAAAATACTTAATTTAGAAGAAAAGATAACAGACAATTCCAGGGAATTAGAAGAAAAGATTAAGGTAAATGCACCAGTAGCTGACACTTTAAGATATTTTCACTTGATTAATCAATATAGTATTGTTAAAAATCATTTATGACACAAACTGACTACAATTGGGTTTTAAGATCTTATAGTTTGCCTTAAAAAATATATAATATTCAAAATATTATATATGTATACTAAAATAATACATATATTTTGTAGTTATGATATTGGCCCAATACATGACCCCAAAAATTATTGAAGTCCCTAATGATGACCTTTCTTGAAACCAGTACCTGACCCCCTTTTATTCTTTGTTGTACTTACTTAGTTGTATTCTTTTTTTAAATAACAAAATATTAGTCTTGTGAAATATACTTTAATTAGGTAACTTTAACGACATTAAACATTTACATTAAACTAATTTTCGGTGAATTCGGTAAACTCTTTCATTTCTTCTACGAAGAAGATACCTCTCGAATTTTTCGGCTTAGGTTGTTGTATCATCATTACAACATCCTGTTCATCGTACCAGATTTGGTCTTCAATATCAGGCCAGCGCCATCCTGATGTTCTTCCACATTGGACCATTGCGGAAACAAGATACTCTTTATTTCGAGTTTCAGTAACTTTACCCGGAAAGTATTTTCCGTAGTACTTGACAACCACGTAATCCAACGGCTTTGGTTTTTCCATAGTTAAATTTTCTCTTATTTTGCTTAAAGGCACATTATCCTCATCGCTTGCTCCGGATTCGTCAATTTGGACGGAACGCTTTTTTGTATTTACTACAACTTTTTTCTTTATTTTGTTATTCGACTCTTTTTTCTTAGCTTCTAGTTTTCTTTTTCTTTCCAGTTTACTAGCTTCCAGTTTGGCTTTTTCCTCACTTTTTTTCTTGCTATATTCTTGCCACATTTGGCTTGTTACAACACTAGGTATCTTTTCTTTAGATTTCTTATTTGTCACCGGTTTTGGTTCTGGCCAGAAAAGCGCTCGTTTAAAAGGACTGGGGACGTTTGGTCCGGTTGCGGTATTGACTAATTCCACGGAACACTTCATTGGAGACTTAGGATTTTGTAAAAATGACAGGTTGGATTTTATAGGCGTTATAATTTTCATATCTAAAATCTTAATTTTAGTTTTGGAATTTGGTGGTGATTGCTTTACAATCTCAGAATTACAGTTGGGTTCTTGGGAGCTAAAATCAGGCAGTTCAATGTTGTCATCCAGATCAGGACAACCTGAAAGTGACAAGGGTGTGTGTGGTATGTCATTAGTGATCGTTGGGCTTTCACTGTTTTCAGCAGTTAAGATCACGTTACCAATTGTTTCGTTATTGCAAACAGGATCCCTATTGTTATTTTCATTTATTAGTTCATAACTAATGTCGTCTTCAAATAAAATTTCTGCTTCTTTTATAGTGTTTTCAATAGTCCTTGTAGTAAATCCGCAACTTTGTTTCATTTTCTTCCAAATTTCAAACAATGATTTATCTTCTATTCGACCACTCCACTGTTCTTCAAATGAGTGCTCTTCAAAACTTTCAAGTACTTTTTGGTCTATAAAGGATTCCATAAATGCAAGGCTGTCTATATTTGTCGCCTGTACGTCGTCTTCAGATTGTTTAGGTGAATTACGAGGTGAATTAGGTTGATCATCATTTTCTGGGAAAAAATTGCTTACTACTTCGGGATCCCATGGAAAGAGTCCACATTTTTTAAATCCGTTTTGAAGGATCTCTGGAGTTACCCGATCTTTAATAGCAGCTTCTAATAGGGGAGCAAAATCTCGTCGTCTTAATATTTCATGTTGATTTTGATGTCTCCATGCGCTGACTTGCTCTTTCCAACCAGACTTTAAAGTGCGAAACACTGCAACGTCCATTGGTTGTAACAAATGCGTAGCATTTGGATATAACGCCACCAAAATTATTTGGTTTTCTGAACAGAATCTGCTAAGATGGTACGACAAGTGTGAGGAATGTCCGTCTACGAAAAATATTATGGGAAATGTAACATTTTCTTTGGCCCAAGGATAAAAGACGTTTGTCATATAACTATAAAAAGTATCTGAGGTCATCCACCCATTCTCTGAAACTCCTATTCCCCAATGTCTTGGTACGCTTGCAGAGAGGTCGGAAGGAATTCTTTTATACCGAAAAATTATCATTGGTGGAGCCAAAGTTCCCGCGGCATTTCCATTTAAAAGTACTGTAAGGCACTCCTTTTCATTGCTATTTACAGTTGCGTAAACTGTCTTATCACCCTTTGATGTTAAAACTTTATTTCCTTTTGGATTTAAAAAAAAAGCCGACTCATCGGCATTAAAGATACGAGTAGGATCTGATAAGACAGTTGTTAAATTATCAGCTTCTAAAAACTCGTAGACTTCAAAAAACCATCTTCTTATTTGTATTTTTTTTACAGAAGCTCTACTCATGGTTAAATTTTGAGGCGTCCTGAGGCTTATTTCGGGATGTCGACCTAAAAAGCTTTTGTACCACTTTCGCCCCGGCATATTATTATTTTTAAAGTTCTTTTTAAGCTCTTTTGCTAGTTTCGAGGCACTGGATAAAAACATTTCTTTGGTAATCGGGAACCCATTTCTTGCCATAGATATTATCCACGTAACAAGAAGATCCTCTTCAGCTTTTGAAAACATTGTAGCAGGCCCCATTTTTCTAGACTCCGGATTAATGCCCTTAAATTTATAAAGCAATGTCGTTTTGGGAACGTTGAATGTCTTTGATGCTGTCTTAACGGGCATACCATTTCTTACTGCACTAAGAGCATTTGTCATAGAGCTTTCTGGATACCGCAAAATTTTTTTGGTGGCCATCTGTAAACAATTAGAATTTATTTTATTTAAATCTAAACAAACTATTAAATATTTGGTTAAGATGCTTATATCGAAGGGTCAGGCATTGGATCTATATCGTACGTAAAGGTGACACAGGGTCATCTACAGGATATAATCCATTTTTAGCTATTTTATAAACAGAGATACAAATATTAGGTTAAATACAATAAAATAAGACCTAAATATGCATTTATGCGTTTGCCCTTATAGATGACCCAGTTGTCATCTTCTAGAGCATTGCATTTTATGTTGTTCCTAAAGATGACCCCCCAAATATTTTCAAATTTATAGGTTAGAATCGTATTTTTACTGAAAATTATATAATTTTATAGACTAGAAATAAAATAAACACAAGAGTTCAAATTTATAATGACCGAAAAACAATATAAACATTCTTTTGTGCACTTACCTTCTAAGCAAAATCACTAATGGCTTGTAAAAATTTACGGAAAACGGATTAGCGCCAAATACTTTAACGGAATCTGAAATGACAGTGCAGTGTTGCCAAACGGTTTTAGACACCGTTTCTCGTAAAGATATTCTAGAAGTGTTAAAATCACAGAAACCTGTATTTGAACTTATTGTTTTCTTATTAAATTTAATTAAAGTTAAAGGTGTCATCAATTGGTACAAGGTCAGCTATTGGTGCATTTACCTTATAAAAGATTACTATAATTTAACAGTATGTAGAATAATTCACTTTTCATTGAATACCTTTACATGGTGAGATACAACTAATTCTTTTTGCAATACTATCGGTTCTTTACAACTATCGATAATTACAGAACTTTCTTCTAAACATGTTGTACTTGAACATTGCGTTTTAATATATTTTTGGTATCTAATATTATGCATTGTATTATATTAAATACTATGTAGGTACAAGAACCCTGGCTGTTCTCAATTGCGTTATTTTTTATCTAATATAAATACCTGGAGTTTTTGTTTAGATCCCATAATCAAACAACATTAAATATGTATTAAGTGATTCATTGTTCAATTAGGTACTGTTTTTCTGTGATAAAGACACAAATAAACACTAAAGTATTCAGGGCACAAAATATAATCATACTTGGTACACATTTAGAAATGAGGTACGGCCAAGCTCATTTGGAACATGTCTATCATTCACAGCTAAAAAATCGCATTCAAAAGTCAAATGAGTCTCTGCAGGAGTTTGAAGCCGACGTAGCCCGCCTGGTTCGCCTTGCGTATCCTGCTACGCCCGAGAATGTTATGGAGCGGTTGGCAGTACAGACATTCTCCGATGGCTTACGTGACAGGGAGACAAGGCAAGCGCTTCTTCTAGCCCACCCAACGCGCTTGGTGGATGCTTTAGCACGTGCCCTAGAATTTGAGGCCGCGAAACAGTTCTCGGTCTCTAGTGAGAGTACGGGCGGTCAACCAATGTTCCGACAAATCCGTGGAAAGCATTGTACGGAAAGTCATGGAGGAGTACATGGGCAAGAAAGGACCGACTTGTTGCTGGAATTGCGGCCAGGCAGGACACGTAAGAAGTCACTGTCAAGAAAAAGACGTGGACTCGGTTTCGCCAAGTGTCGAATCAAAGGGACACATATGGAGCAGTACCCAACAGGTTCCAACGAAAACTGTTCAAGTCGCATCGCTACAACACAAGTTCAACAGCATTTTTGTGGCTAGTTTCGTGGATGGAGAGTTACGGACCATGCTGTTGGATACGGGTGCGACCAAAACGATCATCAGGCCGGATATCCTTAAAACATCAAAAAGGATTAAAACAACACAATGGCGACTACGTACAGCTACAGGAAGCTGCGCTCTCATCCATGGAGAGGTAGATCTTAATTTTGTTATCGGAAGCACCTGTTTTAATCATCGAGTGTTAGTAGCAGACATCGAAGATGAACTTATTCTCGGAATGGACATCGTGACCACTAGAGGTTTTGAACTAAACCTCAAACAAGAAATTTTGAAAATAAATGAAGAAGAAGTGGTTCTACATCGAAAATGTGAGGAGACGCTTCGCGTGGTAGTAGCAGAAGATGTTTCGATCCCTGAGCGCTGTGAGATATTTTTGGATGGTCGCCTGGAAGGTAAAACGAATAATGGGAGTATTATTCTGTTGGAGCCAAGGAACCATGACAGCGAAATAGGACGAGGGGTCGCTGTTGGAAAACCCCTGCTACGAGCGAAGAAGTCTGTACCGGTAAGAGTAATGAACACGAATTATCATTCTGTATCCTTGAAGAAGGGAACCCTGTTAGGGTACTGTTGTTCGGCCTCCTCAGTCATTCGAAGCGTGGAAGCCTCCAAAGTTTCGATTTCAAAAATTCCGGACAAAATGGTTAAGGAGTTAGTAAACGTTAAGGGATTATTTCCCGAAGATAGTAGAAAATTGAGAAACCTGATAATCAAGTATCAAGATGTGTTTGATAAAGGAGAAGCAGGACATAGAGGTCGTACCAATTTAGTACAACATAAAATTGACACCGGAGATGCACGACCAATCAAACAAAATCCGAGTAGACTGCCGCTCGCCAAACGTGAAGAAGCTGACAAAATCCTTCGAGAAATGAAAGAAGAGGGTGTCATCGAACCATCTAACAGCCCGTGGACATCGCCGGTAGTACTAGTAAAGAAGAAAGACGGTACCACCAGGTTCTGTGTTGATTATCGGCAACTTAATAATGTTACCAAGAAGGATAGCTATCCCCTGCCGAGGATAGACGATACTCTAGACACGCTGGCGGGGTCAACGATATTCTCTAAGTTAGATCTGAAGAGTGGATATTGGCAAGTCGACATGGCGCCGAAAGACAGAGAGAAGACAGCGTTCTCGGTGGGCTCCGGACTGTGGCAATTTACCGTCATGCCTTTTGGATTGTGCAACGCGCCAGCTACCTTTGAGAGATTAATGGAGTCTGTGTTAAAGGGACTATCCTGGACTACCTGTTTAGTGTACCTGGATGACATCATAGTGGTTGGGAAATCCTTTGACCATCATCTGAAGAATTTGGAAGAAGTTTTCAAGCGACTAGGGAGTTCTGGTTTGAAACTTAGCCCCAAGAAATGTCATCTGTGTCAAGAAAAGGTACACTACTTGGGCCATCTAGTCTCCTCCCAAGGAGTTGCGGTAGATCCACAGAAGACCAAGACAGTGGAAGAGTGGCCGATACCTAAAGATAAACATGAACTACGAAGCTTTTTGGGACTATGCACATACTATCGACGCTATGTACAGGGTTTCGCCACCATCGCAAAACCATTGACCAGACTTACCGAAGGCGAGAGGCGTTTCTCTTGGGACTCAGATTCTGACGAGGCATTCCGAAAATTGAAGAAGGCCCTGACTAGTGCGCCCATACTTAGCTACCCCTCTTGGCAACGGAAACTTTATATTGGATACCGACGCTAGCAATGTTGCATTAGGCGCTGTTCTGTCTCAGATCCAGGATGGTCAAGAAAAAGTCATTAGTTATTTTAGTAAGACCTTGTCAAAACCGGAAAGGAACTACTGTGTAACCAGACGAGAATTACTAGCAGTAGTTAAAGCAGTGGAACACTTCTACAAGTATCTCTATGGAAGAAAGTTCTTGTTAAGAACAGACCATGCTGCTTTGAAATGGCTGTTGCAGTTTAAGAATCCTGAAGGGCAGGTAGCTAGATGGATTGAACGATTACAAGAATTTGACTTCGACACAGAACATCGAGCTGGGGCAATCCATCGAAATGCCGACGCACTTTCCAGAAGACCGTGCGCTAAGGACTGTAAGCATTGTTCCCGAGCAGAAGAGAAAGAAGTGAAACTCCTAAGAACAACTGTGGTTAATGATAGTTGGCAACCCGGAGATCTTGCAAATGACCAAACCAGTGACCCAGAATTAGGTTTAGTAATTAACTGGAAAACACAGGCCAAAGACCAACGTGGGAAGAAGTTTGCAGATATTCGCCGAACGTAAAGTCGTACTGGGCCCAGTGGAATTCCTTGGTAATAGATAACGGACTACTTCGCCGTGTGATCGAGAGACCGGAGGGACAAGAAGAGAGAGGCAGATCGTCATTCCAAAGAAGAGGGTCCCAGAAGTCTTGGAGGAAGTTCACAATGGAACCAGCGGAGACATCTTGGTGTTACCAAGACACTTGGCAAGCTGCGTGAACGGTTCTACTGGGTGAACTGCAAAGAAGATGTGAGGGCCTGGTGTAAGAAATGTGACATTTGCGCAGCCATTAATGGGCCACAAAAGCGTGGTAAAGCCCCTATGCGCCAGTACAATGTTGGTAGTCCCTTCGAACGAATAGCGATCGACGTGGCTGGTCCTTTCCCGGAGACGAACGATGGCAACAAATACATTGTGGTAGTAATGGATTACTTCAGCAAATGGGTCGAGGCCTACGCGTTGCCAAATCAAGAAGCGTCCACGATTGCTGATGCCCTTGTTAAAGAATGGATCTGCAGGTTTGGTGTTCCCATGGAGCTTCATTCAGATCAGGGAAGAAACTTTGAGTCCAATCTGTTCCAAGGCGTCTGTGAAGTCCTGAACATCCGCAAGACCAGGACGACTGCTCTACATCCACAATCCGATGGGATGGTTGAACGCATGAACAGAACTATCAACCGTTATCTGGCCAAAGTAGTCTCTGACCACCAAAGAGACTGGGACAAATTTCTTCACCTGTTCCTGTTGGCCTACCGTTCATCCGTCCAAGAATCTACAGGGCAAACTCCAGCCAGCATCGTTATGGGACGGGAAGTGCGCCTACCCTGTGATCTGAAATTTGGTTGCCGACCGGGAGAAGAAGTCGCCGGAGAAGATTATGTCCACACACTACGTCAAAGGATGGACGACATTCATCAGAGAGTCCGCCTAAATATTCAAAGTGCTAGTGACCGAATGAAGGAACACTACGACATTCAAGCTGAGCATGGAGGATACCAACCAGGGAAGTTGGTGTGGCTATATAACCCGCAGAGACGTCGTGGGTTATCTCCGAAGCTACAATCCTCGTGGGAAGGGCCATACGAAGTCATGGATAGAATTAATGACGTCGTATACCGTATCAGAAAATTGCCAAAAGGAAAACCGAGGGTAGTCCATTTCAACCGTTTGAGCCCCTACCAAGGCGAAATAGAAGATCGTGCTGGGACCGTGAGAACCTGCAGCTTTGATCCCCCTGATTCGGAGATGTCCTTTGACGATTTCATGGCCCGATACAACAGCAGTGAGAAGGCTCGCTATGGTGTAACCAAAGAAGATCAACGAGACCTCTTTTCCGTGCCTCCTGATTATTCGCTCGCTCATTGTGTGGCTCGAGATTTGCGGATGTCCAGAGGAATCGCTGCGACGTTCAATGAGAAGTTTGGGCGTGTCGGAGAACTACGCCGACAGGATCCAGAGGTTGGAAGCGTCTTGAGGCTAACCGACAATGCACATGGTCAAGCAAGGCACATCTTCTACCTGGTCACCAAGGAATGGTCCCCGAGTAAGCCGACTTATCTCAATCTATGGAAGACCCTGATTGAACTGAGAGAAGCCCTGCTAAACAACAACATTGCACGATTAGCCATTCCGAAGCTGGCGTGTGGACTCGATGGTTTGAGTTGGCGTACAATCCGGAACATGATTGAAGTCTTGTTCAGATTTACGG